TTTCTTTTTTTTTTGGAGAGGTTTTTGCTATAGGGCGCGTGTGCTCGCCAGACAGACAGACAGAGACAGAGAGACAGAAAGTGAGAAATCACCCCCTGGGGGGATGGCCACACTGCAATCCCTTCTCCTCCATTCTCCTCTTGGGATCCTGGGCACGCATGCACACGCGCCCGGCATGAGTTTAAGCCACCGGGTCCGGGACGCGAACCGTGGTCAACTATGGGAATCCAGCGACACAGCCATTACGCTAACTGCTGGTTCCCCATGGTCCTATCTTGGTTACCATGTACAGTTCCCCAGCCCTTACCTGGGTCTCCAGCCTCATTTTGTTTCCCCTTTCCCTATAGGTGTGTGATCAGATTAAGACCAAGCTCACCTGCCTGAAAGATGTTCCTAACCGAATCGAGTGTCCCCTTATCTACCACCTGGATGTGGGGGCCATGTACCCCAACATCATCCTGACAAACCGCCTCCAGGTGAGACCGTGTCCCACATCGGAAGGGCGCCCCTCTACCTGAATGCCAGCTGCTTTCTCACTTTCTGCTCTATCTTCCTCCCCTCTCTTCTCGCAGCCCTCTGCCATGGTGAACGAGGCCACCTGTGCTGCCTGTGACTTCAACAAGCCTGGAGCGAACTGCCAGAGGAGGATGGCCTGGCAGTGGAGGGGCGAGTTCAGTAAGTGTCGGCCACGGGTGGGGTTGACCGGAAGTGGTGGTCCATGTCCCAGACTGCTCCTCTCCTTTCGAGCATCTCCTGTTGTCTCCTCCCAGTGCCCGCCAGCCGCAGCGAGTACCATCGGATCCAGCACCAGCTGGAGTCAGAGAAGTTCCCTGCCTTGTTCCCGGAGGGGCCGGCCCGGGCCTTTCACGAGCTGTCCCGTGAGGAGCAGGCCAAATATGAGAAGAGGAGGCTGGCGGGTGAGCACCTCGGCACAGTGGCCTCCAGCGCTGTGCCCTGCCCTGACTTGGTGTCTTCCTTGGGCTGCGGCACGTCGCAGCCTGAGGCCAGCCAGGTGGTTACGTTCTTTCTGCAGGGTGTCACTCCCTGTTTCTTCAGAAACTGCACTCTTTCTGTGGTTTCGGTGTATTTGACCTGTTGGAACACAGAGGCTGTCCTTTCGGGTGATAAACTAGCCGCTTAGCTGAGCTGTCTGGACATAGAAAGCCGTGTCCCAGTCTCCCCTCTGCTGCTCCAGCTCTCTCAAGTCTGCAGGTCTCATGTCCCCCCACCACCACCCTCGCTTAGATTACTGCCGGAAGGCCTACAGGAAGACCCACGTCACCAAGGTGGAGGAGCGCCTCACCACTGTCTGCCAGCGGGAAAACTCCTTCTATGTGGACACAGTGCGTGCCTTTCGGGACAGGCGCTATGAGTTCAAAGGGCTCCACAAGGTGAGCTTGGAGAGTCAGGTCTCTGAGAAGCAGAGTACAGTTTAGTTCCGGGAGTGGAAACCTTTTGCTTGGCTTCATCCTAGACATTCTTGGCCCCTTCATGGGGGTGTGATGTGGTCTTCTGAGCTGGTACACAAACTCCAGCAATTCATGTATGGTTGATTTTAACTTGGAGAATTAATAGTAAGGACGTGGGTGTCAGCGGTCTGGCCTGAGGTCTCAGAACTGTTTGTAACGGCTGTTTCTGAAGTAGTTACCTAGAGCAGTGTCAGCAAGCTGCAGCAAGGCAGGCGGTTTGAGAAGTGGCCCCTCTGGAGCACACTGCGTGTGCATGCAATGTCCTACATGCGGACGGGCAGAAGTGGAGAAGAAGGATTGCAACGTGACCAGGCCCCCTTTCGGGTGGCTTCTCTCTCTCTCTCCCCGGCATGTACACACACTCTGGCGATTAGAAAGGCGTGCTGAAGTACTTGCAGCCATCAAGCTTTGACACCTACTGCTTTCAAGTGGTCTTGCCAACAGAGAAGGGAGTAAAGGGATGCAACAGAATATAAAATATTAAATATTCGTATCTTAGAAGAGAGTATACAGTCTTCATTGCACTTTTTTCAAGTTTTCTATAGACTTTTTGAAATAATTATTTATTTAATTTTATTTATTCATTCATTTATTTTGACCAGAGAGAGGGAAAGTGAGAAAGCTAGAAAGCAAGTCATGAGGTGCAGGACTCAACCTTGGTCAACCACGTGGGAGTGTCCAGTGCCTTAACCACCACGCCACCTGCTGGTCCCCTAGAGTTTTAATTTCTTTAGATAATAAGAGCTTGGGGAGCCCTGTGCAAGGACGTGCCCCTGTACCCTCAGCTCCTCAGGAGGCTAAGGTGAGAGAATTCCGAGTCTGGAGCAGTCTAGGCAACGTAGCAAGACCCTGTCTCTAAGGAAAAAATGAAAAGGCTTGGATGGCGTGAGGGAAGCTCTAGGTGCCCGGTGGTCTCTGGTTTGTAGGTGTGGAAGAAGAAGCTCGCTGCAGCTGTGGAGGCAGGCGATGCGTCCGGAGTGAAGCGCTGTAGGAACATGGAGGTGCTGTACGATTCGCTGCAGCTGGCCCACAAGTGCATCCTCAACTCCTTCTACGGCTACGTCATGCGCAAGGGGTAGGGCAGGCTGGGGGGCTCGGGAGTGCTGTATGACTCGTACATACGGGAACCCTGAGGGATGGGCTCAGCGCCGGGGTAAGGGACTGGGGAGGGATGCCTGCAGCTCTGGCTTGGCTGAGGGGCGCATGGTGGGGCCGCTCATCCAATTCAAGGGTTACTGGTGAGAGCTGGCTTTGGCGTGAGGGAGCAGGGACTGGCGGGGCTAGGGCCAGGGAGAGAAGGAGCCATGCTAACAAGGGCCAGAGCGCCCACGAGGCATAGGGTGTACTTGGCCAAGTGCCTTGGTTGGGACGGGCTTGGGTAGCCGTGTGTGTGCCCCTTGATGTGCACTACCACTCAGGACGCAGCCAGGCCTGGCAGTTGCTGGTCCCCACTGTACATGTGTGAAGAGGGACAGGGCCATGACTGGCAGGGCCATTGTGGGGTCCATAGGCCTAGATGGAGACTCGAGGTGGAAAGAGGTCGTACAGCGGGGGCTATGGAGGGTAAGCCCAAGTTCCCTGTGGTACTTGGCCTCGGGATTGCAGGGAGGTGGCATGAAGGCCAGGCGTGGGGCCTTTGGGGAAGGCAGGGCTGGTTTTGGAGATCACTCAGCACAGTGTGTCTTGTGAGTGGCAGGGCTGGGGTCAGAAATAAACATAAAAGTCAATAGAGGCCCATGAGTGTAGAGAGAGGAGATCGGGTGGGCCCGACTTCTCTGATGGAGGTGGTCACGACTCTAACCAGTCCCGGGTTTATTCTTCTGAAGGGCAGAGGATGGGGAAGGAGGAGACAACGCAAAGCCATGGTTCTTGGGCATTGATCGGCTGACGATGCAGAGGCCGTTGGTGCCGTGTAGTCTCTCTGATCTTTTGGGACCAGTTCCAATAGCGTACATGGCTGCTTTTACCCCGATACTGCTTCAGTGTCGACAGCAGGCAGCTAGCTGGCGGGTTCACATGTTGACCGCTTCATCGCCCTACAGGTAGCAGCGCATGGAGCTGCGTTTCTTCGTGTCTCTAGGTCATCCTGTGTGCTCACGATGGTCGCTCTCCATGGGCTAGTACCTTGGGATGCAGGCTACATTTATTCGCTGTTGGTCTTTATCGTTTCTTTGTTTATGGTCAGAGGACACACACTTGCCAGAGAGAGGGAGAGCCCCTTAATGGGATGTGGTCACACCCATCCTTTCAAGTCCCCCAACTTCTCCATTCCATCAGGACTGGGTCACGCACGTGCCGTACCTGGTGTGTGTTCCACGCTTTCGGGGCTGGAGTTCTCGCTGCGTGGCCATGTGGGATCTGGCCTCTTACTCACAGAGCTCGACTGCAGCAGGGACCTGTAGATGCTCTTTAATGGCAGAGATTGAAATATGTTGAATTCTACAGAGCATACAGAGGGGAGGGGAAGGCAGAGAAGGCAGAGCTGAGATCAAGGAGGGACAGGAGGCCTCTGAAGGCTTGGACTTTCTCAGAGAAGTCAGAGACAAGTGTCGAAGCTTAGAAGGAATGAGGTGGTCGGGGTGAGAGCCCTGCTGAAGCTGGGGTGGGGCAGTGTGAGCGGCACGCACTGGAGCCCTCACGAGCTTCCCTGAGCTGTGAGGGCTGTCTGAAGGAGGAGCAGAGAGGTGTCCTCAAGGAAAAGCCAATGTCCGTAGTTCTGTCCTGCTTCAATAAGGGTGGCATTAGGCTTCTTCCGTTGTCCCTCTTTGGTGTTTCCTTTCCTCCCCGCTATGTACCCCCTCTGGTAGCCTGGACCACTGCTGGTGTGCTCTCCTACCCAGGGCTCGCTGGTACTCCATGGAGATGGCCGGCATCGTCTGCTTCACAGGGGCCAACATCATCACCCAGGCCCGGGAGCTGATCGAGCAGATCGGGTGAGAGCTGGCACTGTCCGCTGCCAGGGATCACGGGGTGGGGCAGCAGGGCAGGCGTAGGAAGAATGGAAGGTCTCAAGCTACGAAGGTGGAGCAGGGAGTTGACAGCCATTGCGTATGTCTGTGGCCTGGATTTAGCATTTCGTTCTGGGTGCATAGGGTCCCAGAAACCTGGTGTCTGAAGCCTTACCCCTGTCTCTGAAGGAGGCCCTTAGAACTGGACACAGATGGGATATGGTGTGTCCTGCCAAACAGCTTTCCAGAGAACTTCGTCATCCAGACGACCAGTGTGAAGAAGCCCAAGATCACCATCTCCTACCCTGGGGCCATGTTGAACATTATGGTCAAGGTGAGAGTAGGTCTCCGTGAGGGGTCAGCGTCCAGTCCTGGGCCATCGGCCCTCCCTAACAGTCACTCTGACAGTTCAGAAGGTGTCCTGCCCATGAACACCTCGCATCGTGTGCTTGCCTCTCCCTTGGGCACCGCCCTCCCTCGCTCGCGTGCTTCTGTGTTGGCTGAAGGTCTGTGCTCAGAGGTCAGCGTGTGAGTTGTCCTACTCCAGCACAACACCCAGGCTTTTCTTTTTCTGAGAGATTTTCTATAGGGCCCGTGCACTTGCTGGAGAGACGGAGACAGAAACTGAGAAGTCACTGCCCAGGGGACGGCCCCACCGCAGTCCCTTCTCCTCCAGTCTCCTCTCGGGATCTTGGGCATGCACGCACACGCACCTGGTGTGAGTTAAGCCACTGGTCCGGGACCTGAGCCGTAGTCAACTACGAGGGAGTCCTGCAACGTAACCATTGCACCATCTGCAGGTCCCAACACCCAGGCGTTCAAACTCACAGGAGATGACAGAGCACAGTGGGTTTCTGTACGCCCTTCTGCCTGCCTCCCAGTGTTACCATCTTGAATAACCATGGTACAGTGGTCAGCCTCAGAAACTCTGTGGCACATCCTGTGACCAAGCCATAGCCTTTGTCTGACACTCCCTGGCAGTGCCCCACCACTGTCCCTCCTGACTCGGGGTCCTGGCCCTCTGTTTGCCGTATGCCACTGTCTGTTGGTCTTTGGCGTGCTTTCTTTGCACACTCAGTGGTGCACAGCGCAGTTCCTGATTAGACCATGCCAGGGTGCCAAAGCTCCAGCTATGTGCAGTGGGTGAACTGGGAGTGTGTGTCTGTGTGAGAAAGAAGCCCACACGGCCGCGTGTGGTCTTGCCTATCCACATAGGTGCATGTCCATAATGCTGTATCCGACTCCATTCTGTTCCCTTCTTCAGTTATAACTTCTTTCTCCTGCAGTGATCAACCTGTCTAATTTTCTCAGTCTTGTCCAACCCTGGTGTCTGTAACAGTGCCCGGCCGCAGGGCCGGCAAGTGGCATGGTGGTCAAAGGCGCTGGACTCCCACATGGGCGACCATGGTTCAAGTCTTGGACCTGGCGGCTTGCTTTCTCACTTCCTCTCTCTCTCTCTCTGTCTCTGATCAAAATGAAAAATAATGATAATAATAAATAAAGTTAAATTAAAAAAAAAAAAAAACAAGAGCCCGGCCGCTAGCAGGACTGTCCGTGTCGGGCTGACAGCCACACTGCAGCCTTTGTGTGCAGTTCCTGCTCTTGAGCCTTACACCCATCAGGACGGGGCGGGTCGGCATGGGCTAGTCATGCATGAATATGGTGATTGTAGGTTCATTTGTTCCCAGTCTGCAGCCTTGGGAGGTACCCTACATCCTGTTTGACTGGTGTTTAATTTGCAGACACTGGAATTCCCTTTAGGGGGCACGGCTCTGGGTTTTGACATGCGTGGGCCTGTGCTCCCACCGCAGAGCAGCACAGAACAGCTGCATCCCCAAACTCAGACAGCACCCGTGTGGTTTTGGTGTGATGCTCTGCCTCTTCCACGCTGCTGTGTAATTGGGAACACAGCATTGCAGCCCTGTAGGTCTGCCTGTAAATGGTGACTTGCACCGGAGCCTTACCAAGTTGTTGGAGTACCAGCCTTTGCTTTCTTTTTTTGTTTGTTTTTTGGTGAGGTTTTTGCTATAGGGCGCGTGCGCTTGCCAGAAAGACAGAGAGAGACAGATAAAAAGCGAGAAATCCCCCCCCAGGGGGGATGGCCACACCACAGCCCCTTCTCCATTCTCCTCCCGGGATCTTGGGCACACGTACCCGATGTGAGTTTAAGCCGCTGGGTCCGGGACTCAAACCGCAGTCCAACTACATGGGAGTCCAGCAACACAGCCGTTATGCTAACTGCTGGTCCCCCAGCCTTTGCTTTCTGCTGTGAGGTTGTCTGAAGAATCTGGTTTTTGGTCCATCTGCTCCAGAGGGCCCTTGGGGGCTTCTGGGTTGGGCCATTACAATGCCCCCTCGCTTTTGCTCCTCAGGAAGGCTTCACCAATGACCAGTACCAGGAGCTGACCGAGCCCTCCTCGCTCACCTATGTAACCCGCTCAGAGAACAGCATCTTTTTTGAGGTCGATGGACCCTACCTTGCTATGATCCTTCCAGCCTCCAAGGAAGAAGGAAAGAAACTAAAGAAGAGGTAGGAACTTACAGCCCTGAAGTTTTGGAAAGGAGATGGGTTGGAATCTACCACCTTTTTTTTTTATATAAGATTTTTGTTATAGGGCATGTGTGCTTGTCAGAGAGAGAGAGAGAGGGGAAGTGAGAAATCGCCCTTCAGGAGGAAGGCTACAGTCCCTCTCTATTCTCCTCGCAGGATGTTTGTGGGCACACGTGCATGCATACACACCCACCCACCCTGTGTTTTTTTCCTTTTGAGAGGTTTTTACTATAATGCGCATACACTTGCCAGAAAGACAGAGAGAAACAGAGGCAGAATGCGAGAAATCACCCCCCAGGGGGAGATGGCCACGCCGCAGTCCCTTCTCCTCCATTCTCCTCTCGGGATCTTGGGCACGCACATACACACACCCAGCGTGAGTTTAAGCCAGCAGGTCTGGGACTCGAACCACGGTCACCTACATGGGACCCCAGCGATGTAGCCGTTACACCAGCTGCTGGGCCCACCCAGTGTGTTTGTCTTGGGTCTTGTACTGCATAATCAGCCGTTGGGGTCCAGCACCTTTATCACCACACTCCCTGCTGGCGCATAGACTGACCACATTTGAGGCCAGCAGGTGGCAGGGTGGTTAGGGCCTTGGATTCCCACACAGACAACTGTGGTTTAAGTTCCCGACCTGGTGACTTGTTTTCTCACTTTCCTTCTCTCCCTCTCTCTGGCGAACACACATGCCCTATAGCAAATTAATAATAAATAAATCTTAAAAATTAAATATCAACCACAGTTTACAGCCCTGTCAGGAACATGGACCTGGAACCGGGGTGGGACCAGACCTGGGTCTTTTTTGTCCATCCTTGCTCTCTTTGCTGCCGTGCCTGGCTCTGTGGGCTGCAGGCCCTACATCGTTCTGATCCACCTGGTGCCACCCACTGGGTGTTGGGAAAATGGGGAGTAGCCAATATGCCAGGCTCCCCGTGGCTGAGCGGGCCTTCTCTCTAGGTATGCCGTATTCAATGAAGATGGCTCCCTGGCGGAGCTCAAGGGCTTTGAGGTCAAGCGCCGAGGGGAGCTGCAGCTGATTAAAATCTTCCAGTCGTCAGTCTTTGAAGCCTTCCTCAAGGGCAGCACACTTGAAGAAGTGTATGGCTCTGTGGCCAAGGTGGCCGACTACTGGCTGGATGTCCTGTACAGCAAGGTGAGCTCACCTCCCTCCTCACCTGGCTCTGAGGCGCCAAGGCTGCTGTAGGAGAGGGATCCAGTGTCCCCCAAGCTTCTGGGCAGGCTGGTGACAGGTGAGCTCAGGGATGGACCCAGGGATGCCAGGCTTTCCCCTCTAGGCAGCATGGCCCTTTCTCCCCCACGTTTTTCCATAGAGTGCGAACGCTCAGTGGGGAGGGCAAGGCGGCCACATTGCATTCCCTTCTCATCTCTTGGGATTTTGGGCGTGCACACACGCCCGCGTGTTTTTCAAGCCACCAGGTCTGAGACCTGAACCATGTAATTGGCCATGTGGGATCCAGCTGCCATAAACACACCATTGGCTGGCCCTCAGGTTTCCATGTGAACGATGTTCTGTGGAGCCTCTTTGTGCATATGCCTTTTCCTTCTCCCACTTTATTTTCTAGGGGCAGGCACTATAGGGGAGATAATACAAGGATATTCTGGAGCCTTTTTGTGACTCTCTTTGCTGTGTGCTTCTGTCTCTTACACGTTGTCTGTTCTATAGAGAGTTGGCCCGTATCTGAAAGTCAACACCAGGAAACCCAGAGTATTCACAAGTCGAGCAAATTGTACAGGCAGCTGGTAAATGAGTGCAAAGAAACAGCTGGAGGTGACTGCCATGTGGACCTCCCTGTGGCCCCGCTGGCCCAGTGTGGACACCTCACTGGCTCCTCCGGGCCCCTGCCGATCCCTGTCATACCCTAGCTGGTCAGAGTTTCTTTCCTGGCTCCTCCTGTCCCTGTCTTTCTCTTTCAGGAAAAAACCCACAAGCTTCCCTTTCTTTCCTTCTTACTTAGCCTTTCCCTGTAGCATCAGTGCCGTCCGTGGATGGCTCTCGGTGGCTCATGCAGTCTAGAGCCCATGGTGTGTACGTGCCATCCCATAGTGAGATTGTCCAGACGGCAGCGCCCACCTCGCCTCTTACGAAGCTGGAGTGCATGACCCGGGGCAGCGCAGGCCTGGCTCATGGGTTGGGAGCCGCCTGGCGCTGCTGAGTTGTGATGACCCTGCCCCTCCCACAGGCGGCCAACATGCCTGATTCTGAGCTGTTCGAGCTGATTTCTGAGAACCGTTCCATGTCTCGGAAGCTGGAAGACTACGGGGAGCAGAAGTCCACCTCCATCAGCACTGCGAAGCGTCTGGCTGAGTTCCTGGGAGACCAGATGGTCAAGGACGCAGGGCTGAGCTGCCGTTACATCATCTCCCGCAAGCCCGAGGGCTCCCCCGTCACTGAGAGGTGAAGGCTCCCGAGGACCTGTGCTGCTCCAGAGAGAGCTAGGGTGGTCTCATCACAGGGTCAGGCGGGGGCCAGGCCCCGCGTCCTCTCAAGACTAGCTGCTCTGGGTGGCATGGGCCCAGGGTGAGCTGCATAGAGCATTCTAGCTTCAGGACCAGCAGATGGTGTAGCAACTACATAGCTGGCTTCCCACATGGCCGTCCATAGTTTGAGTCCCAGACGCAGTGCCTTGAAACTCCCACCGGCGGCACATGTGTCTACATGCCTGAGATCCAGGGAGGAGAGTGGAGAAGAGGTTGTGGTGTGGCCATTCCCCCCTCTCACCATCTCGGTCTCTCTCTTCATCTCTCTCTCTCTCTCTCTCTCATGAGTGCACATATCCTGAGGCAAAAGCCTCTGGGGAAAAAGAAAAAAAGGCCATTCCAGCTTCTGGGTGACCCGTGTCATGTGAGCACCTGTCTCAACCCCTGGCACCGACAAGAGGGTGTTCTCCAGCTCCTGGGACACAGCCTCAGCGGTGCTCAGAGGCCGTTCCCACCAGCCAGACCTCGGGCTGGAAGTTGCTCCATGAGGAAGCCTGGAGAACAAGTGGCAAAGGCAGGAAGGGCTGAGGAGCTGCCCAGAGAAACTGGAGGCAGGGCTGTCCCCTGCCAGTCTCTGTTGTGCTTTATAACGTGACTGCCTCGCTCCTGGCAGAGAGGTCTGCCTACTTCCACTCCCCTGCCCTGCGGAGTCTAGCAGCCTGGCACTTGCAGCAGCTGACTGAACCCTGTGGAAGAACTGCGAGACTTCTGAACCTGGTCCCTGGGGCTTTGCCATTCTTGGATGCTCTCTTGCTGCCTAAAGGCCAAGAGGTATGAGGAGGCTGACGGCACCAGCTGCTGCCCAGAGGGAGGCCACTTGACTACATGAGTGACCAGGAGAGACCATGAGCAGAACAGTGGTTCCGCCCCTGAGTGTTGGGTTGTCTGGTCAGCAGTAAAGGGAAGCTGGCGATGGCAGTGGCTGGCGTACCCATCCCTGGGAGGCCTTTGGAGAGGGGTAAATCAGACAAAACAAGTATCTGTGTAAAGAAGAATTTCATTACAGCAAGAGGAACTGTAGAGCCAGGATAGATCAGTATCCCAAGGAAAGTAAGGAATTCCTGAATATCGATAAGAAAAAGAGGTGAGAGCAGCCAGCACGGGGACAGCGCTGAACTCCAGGAGCCCTTCCAGTGCAGGTCTGGCTCGGAGGCGGACTGTGGGGTGGCCGTAGGTGAGCAGGTAGACTGGCCTCAGTGCCATGTGGACTGGGCTCTGACTGTCCCCTGGCAGGACGTGGGGAGGGAGAGGGTGCACACTACCCCTCTGGCTCTCAGCGCATGTCCTGGGCTGCCTCCACATGTTAGTGCCTGACCCGAGGTGCCGTAAATGTCCATTGACGACAGATGGGGAAGTGTGTTTTTAGGGTATGAGATACAATGAAAGTTTGAAGGATTGAATTGCAGCTATAGGTCGTAACTTCTTTTTTGGGGGGTGAGAAGTTTTTGCTATAGGGAATGTGCACTCTGGAGAGAGACAGAGAGGTAGAAAGCGAGAAATCACTCCCCAGGGGGCTGGCCATGCCACAACTTCTCCAGTTCTCCTCTTAGGATGTTGGACACGCACACACATGAGCCTGGCATGAGTTGGTCCGGGACTCAAACCATGGTCAGCTACATGGGAGTCCAGTGATACAGCCATTATGCCATCTGCTGGTTCCTACAGGTTATAATTTCTTTCTTTTTATTAGGGACATTTTTGCTATAGGGTGCATGTGCTCACTAGAGGCACAGAGAAAGACAGACACAGAAAATGAGAAATCACCCCCCAGGGAGGATGACTATGCCATAATCCCTTCTCTTCCATTCTCCTTTTGGGATCTTGGGCACACACGCCCATGCACCCGGCATGAGTTTTTAAGCCACTGGGTCTGAGCCTTGAATCAGAGTCAACTACATGGAGTTCAACAACGTAACCATTACATCATCTGCTGGTCCCTAGGTTGTAATGTTAGAGCTTACAACAGTGTAGACCCAGAAAGTGAGCCGTGGCCCAGCTGCTGTGCACAGCAGTAACGCAGGCGTCCTACAGGGTGGAAGCTGCAGGCCCCCAGGTCAGCCTGAAGCGCCCTGGACTGGTGTGTGTGTGGATACCAAGTACCCTGAGAGCTTGAGGGCTGGGGAAAGGATGGCAGCAAGTGAGGTCCTTAGAGGGTGCCTCTGCCTCTTGTGTGTACACGTGCTGATGTTACAAACGCGACTGGGGGATGATGCATATGCTTTTACTTACAAAAACCTAAACATGCACATGTGTGTTTGCTCAACACTGGAGCAGTGTTATGTTTGCTTTTGTGTGAGGGAACAGGCTGGGGACACACACACCCAATCTGTTATCTCACAGTATTGAAAGTGGCAGAGCTTTGGGACCAGCAATTGGCATAATGGCTATGTCGCTGGACTCCCATGTAGTCGACCATGGTTCGAGCCCCAGATCCGGTGGCTTAAATTCATGCCGGGCACGTGTGTGTGCATGTCCAAGATCCCTAGAGAAGAAGGGATTGCGGCATGGCCATCCCCCCAGGAGGTGATTTCTCGCTTTCCATCTCTCTCTTTCTGACAAGCGCAAGCCCCCATGGCAAAACCTCTCCAAAGAAAGAAAGTGGCAGAGCCTTGAAACTTGATAGAGTTGGGTTTTTTTGTTCTTTGTTTTTCATTTTGTTTTGTTTTGTTTTTTTGAGAAGTTTTTGCTACAGGGCGCATGTGCTCGCCAGAAAGAGACAGAGAGACAGAAAGCGAGAGAAATCACCCCCCAAGGGGGGATAACCACGCCGCCATCCCTTCTCTATTCTCTTCTCGGGATCTTGGGCATGTGCGCACACATGTGCCGGTGTGAGCTTAAGCCACCAGGTTTGGTACTTGAACCATAGTCAATTTCGTGGGAGTCCAGCAACATAGCCATTACACCAACTGCTGGTCCCAGTGATAGAGTATTTTTTATTGGGCTGGCCCATAGCCTAGTGGTTAAGGGAACTAGATCTCACAGGCTGACCTTGGTTCAAATCCCAGCCCCATTGGCTTGGAAAACATGCCAGGTATATTTGCGTATGTGTCTGGAATTCTGGCAGAATGGAGAAATGCAGAAGAGATTGCATTGTGGCCATACTTCGTTAGTGAGAGCTTTCCCTTCTCAATCTCGCTCTCTCAGGAAAAAGCACATGTGCCCCCTGGCAATTAAAAAGAAAAGTAAAAAATATTTCCCATAGGTCAGCTAGGTGACATGGTTATTAAGGTGACCGAAGCCCACACGATGGATGGCATCGTTTGAGTCTGGGACTGGCAGCTTGAAAAACATGCCATGCACATGTGTGTGTGTGCCCAAAATCCTGAGAGGAGAATGGAGAAGAGATTTCAGTGTGGCCATTCCCCTTGGGGGGTAATTCTCTCTCCTATAGCAAATTTTTTTAAAAAAAATATATTTTTTTTCCTGTAGAAAGAGGTATTGACAGTTTGCTGGTGACTTGAAAACATTCATTCTTTCTAGAAAGCACCCTACCTTTCTATGTTCTACATAATGAGTAACATTTCAGAAATGCCTTTAAGTGAATATATATGCAGGTCTGTGGATCTGTAATTTATATAAGGACCGTTACTTATGAAGAACCCTGTTACCAATGGCCAAACACTAAAAACAGACCAAATAACCAACGGGGGTGGCGGAACACATTAAACCAAAGGAATACTTCTTACGTTATCAAATATGATAAGCTTTGTATACAAGGTATAGTTTGTACAAAGTAGCAACAGTGAAAAGGTAGGTGACACACCAGGTCACAAACCTTGACTGTGTCTGGGAAGGCTGTGCTCGGACTTAGGGCGGTCTCCGTGTCTGCCTTCTCCACGCAGGGCCATCCCACTTGCCATCTTCCAAGCAGAGCCTACAGTGAGGAGGCATTTCCTCCGGAAGTGGCTTAAGAGCTCTTCCCTTCAAGACTTCGACATTCGGACCGTGAGTGCCAATTTGTCTTAAGACACCAAGCGTTTAGCAGAATGCTTGGTGTGCAGTAGAGCTTGCAGACTGCCTGTCACTGCTGCTTCTCCTTACCCACTTCCTGCATGCTCAGATTCTCGACTGGGACTACTACCTCGAACGGCTGGGAAGCGCCATCCAGAAGATCATCACGATCCCTGCGGCTCTGCAGCAGGTCAGGGCAAGAGCCAGTGGGCACAGGATGTGGCTGAAGGCCAAGGTGCGGAGACAAGGCTCTCCCCCTGACCAGTCTCTTTATCTTGCAGGTGAAGAATCCAGTGCCACGTGTCAAACACCCTGATTGGCTGCACAAAAAGTTGCTGGAGAAAAACGATGTCTATAAGCAGAAAAAGATCAGTGAGCTCTTCGTCCCTGTGGGCAAGAGACAGGTACGTGCGGATGGGCACAGGACAGTGAACACTGTGGGGCCAGGCTGGTAGAGTCCCCACAGCACACAGGTGCCCAGGCCCTCCCCTGCTACTCATAATTTTTAAACGTTTCATTCAGGCCTCTAGGGTAGATCTTGTCCATAAAGATGTACGCCTTGATGCCCTACCTCTGCATTCCCTCCAGGGCTGCTCTTGTAAGAGGAGCTGCATGGTGGCAGGCTGGTGAAGAGCTGCCGTGCTGCACGTGGGACAGGGTGCATTCTCAGACTCTGGCGTGGACTGGGTTGTAAAATTTAAGCATGCTGAAGCCAGCAGGTTACATGGTAGTTAAGGCACTGGACTCCCACATGGCCAGCCATAGTTCAAGTCCCAGACCTGACAGCTTGAAACCTACCTTTCTATGTTCTACATAATGAGTAACATTTCAGAAATGCCTTTAAGTGAATATATATGCAGGTCTGTGGATCTGTAATTTATATAAGGACCGTTACTTATGAAGAACCCTGTTACCAATGGCCAAACACTAAAAACAGACCAAATAACCAACGGGGGTGGCGGAACACATTAAACCAAAGGAATACTTCTTACGTTATCAAATATGATAAGCTTTGTATACAAGGTATAGTTTGTACAAAGTAGCAACAGTGAAAAGGTAGGTGACACACCAGGTCACAAACCTTGACTGTGTCTGGGAAGGCTGTGCTCGGACTTAGGGCGGTCTCCGTGTCTGCCTTCTCCACGCAGGGCCATCCCACTTGCCATCTTCCAAGCAGAGCCTACAGTGAGGAGGCATTTCCTCCGGAAGTGGCTTAAGAGCTCTTCCCTTCAAGACTTCGACATTCGGACCGTGAGTGCCAATTTGTCTTAAGACACCAAGCGTTTAGCAGAATGCTTGGTGTGCAGTAGAGCTTGCAGACTGCCTGTCACTGCTGCTTCTCCTTACCCACTTCCTGCATGCTCAGATTCTCGACTGGGACTACTACCTCGAACGGCTGGGAAGCGCCATCCAGAAGATCATCACGATCCCTGCGGCTCTGCAGCAGGTCAGGGCAAGAGCCAGTGGGCACAGGATGTGGCTGAAGGCCAAGGTGCGGAGACAAGGCTCTCCCCCTGACCAGTCTCTTTATCTTGCAGGTGAAGAATCCAGTGCCACGTGTCAAACACCCTGATTGGCTGCACAAAAAGTTGCTGGAGAAAAACGATGTCTATAAGCAGAAAAAGATCAGTGAGCTCTTCGTCCCTGTGGGCAAGAGACAGGTACGTGCGGATGGGCACAGGACAGTGAACACTGTGGGGCCAGGCTGGTAGAGTCCCCACAGCACACAGGTGCCCAGGCCCTCCCCTGCTACTCATAATTTTTAAACGTTTCATTCAGGCCTCTAGGGTAGATCTTGTCCATAAAGATGTACGCCTTGATGCCCTACCTCTGCATTCCCTCCAGGGCTGCTCTTGTAAGAGGAGCTGCATGGTGGCAGGCTGGTGAAGAGCTGCCGTGCTGCACGTGGGACAGGGTGCATTCTCAGACTCTGGCGTGGACTGGGTTGTAAAATTTAAGCATGCTGAAGCCAGCAGGTTACATGGTAGTTAAGGCACTGGACTCCCACATGGCCAGCCATAGTTCAAGTCCCAGACCTGACAGCTTGAAAATCACACCGTGTGTGTGTGTGCCCAAAATCCCAGGAGGAGAATGGAGAAGGGATTGTAGGGTGGCCATCCCTCCTGGAAAGTGATTTTTCACTTTTCCTCTCACTGTCTCTCTCCTCTCTGGCAAGCACACCTGCCCTATGGCAAAAACCTTAAAAAAAACATTGTGTCGTGCTGCTGCACTCCCAAGAGAAATCTGGTAATTCACCATTAAAGAGAAGACTCATGGGATCATCGCAAATAGATACAGAAAAAATACTCGATAAATTTTGCTGTCTGTTCACCATAACAGTTTAAGCAACCAAGTCAGAGTACAGAAGCTGTTTGCTGATAAGGTGCACTCGCCAAAGCAGCTCTAACTCAGGTGTTTGACACAGAACCTCAGGAGCCCTGCAGTGAGGAGCAAGGGACGGGAGCCTGCTAGTCCACTGATGTTCACACTTGTTTAGAGGGCCTGGCCGACACAGAGACAGATTTACGTTTTAAAGACTGAAAGCGACACGTAGAACTTACTGTTTACAGATACGATTTGTTAACACAAAATGTAAGGAAACTCAGATAATTGTCCTAAGACATTTCAGTAATAGAAATAGTTGACGATGATTATAGGTATTACATCAAAATTTGTAGTTTTCTTTTGTAGTAGAAACAAAATATTTTTGGGAAGATAACTTTTTTTTTTTAAGAATTATTTTATTTAACTTTATTTACTTACCTTGATTTGACCAGAAAAGGACTGAGCAAGAGATAAAGTGAGAAAGGAAGCTACCATATCCAGGACTTGAACCATAGTCGGCCACGTGGGAGTCCAGTGCCCTTAACCACCACACCACCTGTTGGCCCCAGAAGATAACTTTTCTTATAGAAGCAAATAATGTACGTGGGGATAAGTTAATGATAACAAAATGTGTGTGAGTTTTTAAGTTTTGCTGTCAGTGTGTACTTTCCAGAGCTGGGGTTGGAGGAGGGAGTGGGAAATCAACCCCCAGGGGGATGACCACGCCATAATCCCTTCTCCGTTCTCGCAGGATCTTGGGTACATGCACACATGAGCCTGGCACAGTTTTCAAGGCACTGGGTCTGAGACTCAAACCACAGAGCTGACTTGTGTAGGGTCTGTGACCTTAGCCTCCACAGTACCTGCTGGCCCTGATGCAAGCTTTTATGGAAAGGGCGGTACAGTTTTACTTAGGGTGAGGCTTTCCCACACGAGTCCGAGGTGCTATCTCCGTGGGTGGGAGGACTGTCGAGTGGGGCACTTTGCCCTGAATTAGCCCACACATTCGCTGTAATCGGTAAGAACGTATGCAGGAGGTCTTTTGGGTAGAACTCGACAGACTAATCCAAAACTTTGTATGAAGAGTAAAGGTACGACTAACCAGTGGCGTTGCAGCTAAGGCAGCTGGGTCCCATGAGGCTGACTGCATGGTTTACGTCCTAGACCTGGCAGCTAGAAAAACACTCGGCACATGTGCATGCATGCCCAAAATCCTGAGAGAAGACTGGAGAAGGGACTGCAGTGTGGCTATCTCCCCCAAAGGGTGTTTTCTCACCCCCACCCCTCTGTCTCTGCAGCAAGCATGTGTGCCCTATAGCAAATTGAAATAACAGCCAGTGTGGGCTAGCTCTATAGCCTAGTGCTAAGGGGACTAGATCCCACTGGGTTCAGTTCAAATCCTATCCCCAGTGGCTTGAAGAACACACTACGCATGTGTGCCTGCATGCCTGAAATCCCGACATGATGGGGAAGTGCAAGAGAAAGGACTGTGTGTGGCAAGATCGTGCCCATTGGGGGCCTTTCCCCGTCTTCTCTCTGGCAAGTGTGCACACCTTCTAGCAATTTAAATAAATAGATAACCAAAGCCATTCTGGGGATTGAGGAGGGGATATTTGTCTTACTGTGTAGCAGGACTGACCGTGTCCCATTCTGTCTCTACAAGGTCGCACAGAGCAGCTGGAGTAACTGGGAGCCCAGGCACAGACCCGCCTGTAAATGGGGCCTGGTGGGACACGGCACGGCACGGGAGGGGAGGGACTGGGCCGTTCGTGAGTCATGCTGGGGAAATAGTTACTTGTATTTTTAAGGTTAAGTTGCTCTCAAACTGAGTATAAGAACAAATTCCAAGTAGAATAACAGTATAACTTGTTGTAAGGCTTATGTCCTGTCTTAAGACAGAGAAAGGGGAGAAGTGAGAAGTCACCTCCACTCCCTGAAGGGTGGCCATTGCACAATTCCTTCTTCATTATCCTCTCCAGATTTTGGACATGCACACCCAGATGCCTGGCATGTTTTTCAAGCTGCTGTTTCTTGGACTGCACAGTTGACCTTGTGGGATCCAGCTGCCTTAACCTCTGTGCCACCTGCTGGGTTGCAAAGGGCTTCTGAAAGGCACACATAAAAACTACAGATCACAGGATCAGCAGATGACATAGTGTTTACCTCACTGAATTCCTACATGGCCGACTGCAGTTCAAGTCTGGGATCCAGAGGCTTGAAACTCAGGCTGGGCACGTGTGCGTGTGTGCCCAAAATCCTGCGAGGAGAATGGAGAAGGGGTTGAGGTGTGGCCATTTCCCTGGGGGGTGATTTCTCGTTTTCTATCTCTCTGACGGGTGCATGTATCCTATAGCAAAAACCTCTTTAAAAAAAAAAAATGTGTATATATATATATATATATGTGCATGCGTGCCCGAGATCCTGAGAGGAGAATGGAAGAGAAGGGATTGCGGTGTGGCCATCCCCCCTGGGGGGTGATTTCTCACTTTCTGTCTCTCTGTCTCTTTCTGGCGAGCGCACGCGCCCTATAGCAAAAACCTCTCAAAAAAAAAAAAAAATCAGAAAGGAAAGATTGATCAGTTCATTAAAATTTAAATCTGTAGCCTTAAACAAGAATGGCAGAACATTAATGGTTGAATCTGGGTGATAGGAACATGGGGTTTATCACTGTACTTTTTTTCCTTCTTTAAGAGAGATTTTTTAGCTATTGGGTACGTGTGCTCACCAGAAAGACAGAAAACACGGAATCATCCCCCAGGGGGGATGGCCACACCACAATCTCTTCTCCATTCTTTTCTTGGGATTTTGGGCACGCACACACATGTGCCCAGCATGAGTTTAAGCCGCCAGGTCCAGGACTCGAACCACAGTTGACTATGTGTGAGTCCAGCAACATAACCGTTACGCCATCTGGTCCCCATCACTGTACTTTTGTGTCTGTTTGAAAGTTTCTACAATATGGGTGGGACCAGCAGTTGACATGATGGCTATGTCAACTGGACTCCCATGTAGTCGACCGCAGTTCTAGTCCTGGACCCAGTGGCTTAAAACTCACGCCGGGCGTGTGTGCGTGCCCAAGATCCCGAGAGGAGAATGGAGGAGAAGGGATTGCGGCATGGCCATCCCCCTGGGGGTTGATTTCTCGCTTTCTGTTTCTGTCTTTCTGGTGAGCACGTGTGCCCTATAGCAAAAACCTCTCAAAGTTTCCACAATAGAAAATAAATTTTAAAAAAACAAACATTTTCAGAGTGTAGCAGTTGCCATAAAGTGAAAACACAAGAGAATTTGAAAATTATATTTTTTCATCTTATTTTATTTTATTTTTTTTGAGAGGTTTTCGCTATAGGGCGCGTGCACTTGCTAGAAAGACAGAGAAAGACAGAAAGCGAGAAATCACCCCCCCAGGGGGGATGGTCATGCCGCAATCCCTTCTCCATTCTCCTCTCGGGATCTTGGGCACACACGCACACGCGCCCAGCATGAATTTAAGCCACTGGGTCCGGGACTCAAACCGCGGTCGACTACATGGGAGTTCAGCAGCATAGCCATTACGCTAACTGCTGGTCCCTTAATTTATTTTTTATTTTTTATTTTTTTTAACATTCAATCACTATACATCATTTGGCTTGTTAAAGAGAATTTACATGGGGACAGCAAGTGGCATGGTGTTTAAGGCACTGGACACTCCTACATGGCTGACCATAGTTCGAGTCCCAGACCTGGTGGCTTGCTTTCTCATTTTTTCTCTGTCTGTCTCCGGTCAAATTAAAATAAATAATTTTTAAAAAAGAGAATTTACTCCATCTGTAATACTTCTCAGACTAGTCCGGTTGAGAATACCATATATGTTGTCACTAACAGGCAGTAAACCATTTCTGTGTCCCACAAATGTTATGCCTTTCCATTTTCTTCTCCCCAGTTTCCTTCTCTGTACTCTTCCCTACTTCCACACTGTCTTCAGTGTCCATAGCTGTTTTTGGTCTACCGTAGAGTGCGGGTACTCCATGCGTATTAAGTAGGGCAGGTGGCAGGCCTGAGCTCCCCACTCTGGGAGTCTTCATGGACAGCTCACACCAGAGCAGCTTCTTTGGAATAAGCTCTTAATGAGGACAGAAGTGCCGTATTTGTATCTGTTCTCAGAAACAACATTGCTTCTTTGGTAACCTATTCAGTTAGAGGCATGTCACTGGGTCTCACCCACACTCCGGCAGGGAGTCAACGGGGCATGGGCACTGGGGGTGAGGGTCATTGGGCCAACTGGGAAGGCTGCCTACAGCGGTGCAGTAAGGTGACTGGCCTGACTTTTTACATTTTTTTAGTTATTCCCATAGGGCACAGACATTCGCTGGAGAAAGACCAGACGAGGGATAAACCATTTAGTGTAATGGCTATGTCACTGGACTCCCACGTAGTTGACCGCGGTTCGTGTCCCGAACCTGGTGGCTTAAAACTCACGCCGGGCGTGTGTGCGTGCCCAAGATCCCGAGAGGAGAATGGAGGAGAATGGAGGAGAAGGGATTGCGGCATGACCATCCCCCCTGGGGGGTGATTTCTCGCTTTCTGTCTCTCTCTCTGTCTGTCTGGCGAGTGCACGTGCCCTATAGCAAAAACCTCTCCAAAAACAAAGACGAGACGAGAGAGTGACAGGGAAAGTGGGAAATCACCCCCCAGGGCGGCCCTGCTGCAATCCCTTCTCCATTCTCTTCTTGGGATTTGGGGCACGCATGAACATGTTCCTGGTGTGATTTTCAAGGTACTCTGCTCAGGTCTGGGTCCATGTGCGTGCACGTGTGTGCCTGAAGTCCAGAGAGGAGAATAGAGAAGGGCCTGTGTCATGGCCATCCCCCCGGGGGGTGATTTCTCCTTTTCCGTCTTTGTCTCTCTCCTGCGAGCACACATGACCTAAGGCAAAAGTAAGTTAAAGTTCGATTAGTGCACATTCCGTTTCAGGTGACGTGCTTGTTACATTACTGGAAGCACTGTTTATGGGGACGAGCCCTAGTTTGAAGGCTTGGTTGGGTCTTTCCAGGTCCTGACGGCCCAGGCCCCAGAAGGCAGTCCAAGGCCAGGTGCTCCGGACATGGAGGACTTCGGCCTCTCTAAGCAACCTCGCCCGCCAGTCCCTGTTGCTACCAAGAGGAAGCGGGTCCTCTGGGAGAGTCAGGAGGATTCTCAGGACCTCTCGCTGACTGTGCCCTGGCAGGAGATCTTGGGGCAGCCTCCCGTGCTTGGCACCACCCAGGTGAGGAGCTGGAGCTGGAGGCAGGGAACTGTGACCCCAAGGCAAGTCCTGACCCAGGGCACCCAAGCCTCTTCACTTTCTCTCTCTTTTTAAAGTATTACCATGGACTTGTGAGTTTTTGTTTGTTAAATGTTTTAAGATCAATGCCCAGGGTCCGGCAGATGGTGTGGTGGTTAAGGACACTGGATTCTCGCACAGCCAACTGTGGTTCGAGTCCCAAACCTGGTGGCTTACTTTCTTACTTTCTGTCTATCACTCTATCTCTCTGGTCAAGTTAAATAATAAATAAATAAAGTTAAATAAGTTAATTCTTTAAAAGGAAAGAAAGAAAGACCACTGCCTAGTGCTTATTGGAAGCTGGTGATGCTAACAGGAGTTACAGGCATGTCTCCATTTCCCACTGCTTATCTGCGTGTTTACTGTCTGTCCCAGGAAGAGTGGCTGGTCTGGCTCCAGTTCCATAAGAAGAAGTGGCAGCTGCAAGCTCGACAGCGCCTCGCCCGCAGGAAGAGGCAACGTCTAGAGTCAGCAGGGGACACACTGAGGCCTGGAGCTGTCCGCGAAGGGCCTGCCACAGGGCTTGGGAGCTTCTTGCGAAGAACTGCCCGCAGTGTTCTGGACCTTCCGTGGCAGATTGTGCAGGTGTGAGCCCCTGGGGAAGCAGCACTACCTATGGGACAGGGAAGGGGTACCGGCCAGGCCCTGTGGTCTGCAGTGGAGGATGGGCAGGCCTTGAACTTCGAGGACCTGTTCTGTTTCCTTTCAGATCAGCGAGACCAGCCAGGCCGGCCTGTTCCGACTCTGGGCTGTCATCGGCAACGACTTACACTGCATCAAGCTGAGCATCCCACGGGTGTTCTACGTGAACCAGCGGGTGGCCAAGGCAGAGGAGGGGCCTTCGTATCGCAAGGTAGGGAGGCAGCTGGTGTCGTTGGATACTGCAGTCACCGGCCTGATCAGCCTTAGAGGTGGTTCCCACAGTGACAGGAAGCCACGAGGAGAACTGTCAGGAGCGTGGGGCAGCACTGAGTGTGGGTGGAGCCCCTGTAAGAGCCAGTTAGGGCCAGTAGCAGTGTGGAGAGTATGGGAGCTGCACCCCGCATGGCTGCCTGAGCAGTTTAAGCTGCAGACCTGCGACTTTAAAAACATGCTGGGCACATGCACAAGGGCTCAAAATCCTGAGAAGAGACTAGAGAAGGGATTGTGGCATGGCCGTCCCCAGTAGGGGAGATTTCTCTCTCTTTCTCTCTATCTCCCCAGCGAGCACAACGCCCTATGGCAGAAACCTAAGAAGAGAGAGGGTGAGGTGGTGATGTCCGTGAGCACTGAGCGAAAGCAGGGTGGTTGTGCAGGCACCGGCACTGCCCGCAGGGCTGGGTGCTCCGATCTCACTGTCGGTGATGCCTGTGGAGCGGGGCATGGTCTGAGTAGACGTCTATTGGAGGTGGTTAGCAGCTTTACTGGGGATCTGGCAGGTGGCGTGGTGGTTAAGGGATGTGGACTCCCATATGGCTGACTGTGGTTTGAGTCCTGGACCTGGAGGCTTGCTTTCTTGTTTTCCCTTTCTCTCTCTCTCTCTCTCTCTCTCTCTCTTTCACTCTGTCCCTCTCTGGTCAAATTTAAATAAATAAAGAAAGAAAGAAAGATAAATAATTCTTTTAAAAAGAGAGCTTTATTGGGATATAAATTAATATACTACATACTCGCCTATTTATTTTTATTTTATTTTTTTCTTATTTTGGAGAGGTTTTTGTTGTAGGGCACATGCGCTCACCAGAGAGAGAGATAAGAGAGACAGAAAGCGAGAAATCACACACCCCCCCCAGGGGGAGATGGCCACGCCGCAATCCCTTCTCCATTCTCCTCTCAGTATCTTGGGCATGCACGCATACTATACTCGGTGTGAGTTTAAGCCACCGGAACTTGAACTGTTGGGTCCAGGACTTGAACTGCAGTCAACTACGTGGGAGTCCAGCGACATAGCCATTATGCAAACTGCCGGTCCCTAATTTTTTATTTCTTTTTTTTTTTTAATGAGGTTTTGGCCTTAGGGTACATGTGCTCACCAGAGAGAGACAGTGAGGAGGGAAAGTGAGAAATCACCCTCCTGGGGGATGGCCACGCCTCAATCCCTCCTCCAGTCTCCTCTTGTGATTTTAGGCACCACGCACATGTGTCTGGCATGAGTTTTAAGCCACTGGGTCCAGGACTTGAACCATGGTTGACTAAGTGTGAGTCTAGCGACATAGGCATTACACTGCCCACTGGTCCCCCTGTTCAGTGTTTAAGATCAGTTATAGCCAGGCCTGTCCCTTCCCACTCGGGAGCATGCAGAGGCGTAAGCAATGTGCAGTTAGATGCAGATGTTGGGTCTGGTCCCCTCGACAACCAACATGCCTGTGCTGTCTACAGGCATTTCCGTCACCCCTGCCACTTCTGTGCAACCCATGGGTCTGGCTCTTGCCTCTCTGTGCCTGTAGATGTGCCTGACCTGCCAGAACTTCGTATGATGGGGCCCTGTAGCAGATTCTTTGGACACACTATTTTTTTTTTCTTTTCTTTTTTTGGAGAAGCTTTTGCTATGGGGCGCATGTGCTCGCCAGACAGACAGAGAGAGACAGAGAGACAAAAAGTGAGAAATCACCCCCCGGGGGAATGGCCACGCCGCAATCCCTTCTCCTCCATTCTCCTCTTGGAATCTTGGGCACACACGCACACACGCCTGGCGTGAGTTTAAGCCACCGGGAACGGGACTTGAACCACAGTCTACTACATGGGAATCCAGCGACATAGCCATTACACTAACTGCTAGTCCCATGAACACACTATTTTTTAAGACTCAAGTTCACCCCATCTCTTCAAGCTAACTCCCGAGTCTCTCTCTCCCCCTCTGTCTCTCTCGTGTGAATGAGCTACAGGGCATGTGTGCTCACTGGTCCCCTACAGGGCATGTGTGCTCACTGGTCCCCTACAGGGCATGTGTGCTCACTGGTCCCTACAGGGCAAGTGTGCTCACTAGTCCCCTACAGGGCATGTGTGCTCACTAGTCCCCTACAGGGCATGCGTGCTCACTGGTCCCTACAGGGCATGTGTGCTCACTAGTCCCCTACAGGGCATGCGTGCTCACTAGTCCCCTACAGGGCATGCGTGCTCACTGGTCCCCTACAGGGCATGTGTGCTCACTAGTCCCCTACAGGGCATGCGTGCTCACTAGTCCCCTACAGGGCATGTGTGCTCACTGGTCCCTACAGGACCATTCTCCTCTCAGAACTCCTCCGCAGTTCGAGTCCTAAATCCAGCAACTTAAAACTCACGTCAGACATGTGTGCATGCATGCCCAAAATCCCAAGAGGAGAAAACAGAAGAGATTGTGGTGTGGCCATTCCCCCGTGGGGGAGTGACTTCTCGTTTTCTGTCTCTCTGGCGAACAAACGCACCCTATAGTGAAGATCTCTCAAACACAACAACAACAACTGTGTGTGCAGACCTTCTGGCTGTGATCACTGGGTGAGGTGGCTGCAGTGGGGTCACATCATCGCTGTGGGCACACAGGCCCAGCACTCTAGACAGTGCACTGCACACGGGCACACAGCAGACCTCGCCACTTACCCACTGCCGCCCACACTGTCCCCAGGTGAACCGGGTCCTCCCTCGCTCTGGCGTGGTCTACAATCTCTATGAGTACTGCGTGCCAGAGGATGCCTACCAGGAGCACAGCAACGAGATCGGTGCTGAGCTGTCAGCACCCGACGTCGAAGGCGTGTACGAGACTCAGGTAGCCCTCCGCAGCATGCCCCACTGGTCAGCAGAGGGGGGAAGCCCAACGGCACAGCCGGGCTCCAGCAGTGACTGCCCAGCCCGGGCTCAGGTGGCTCTGAGCAGCCCGGGCACGGCTGCAGGTGTCCGTGGGCCACGG